AGGTGGAAGTAGCTTCAGCTGCCATTGTCTCAACTAGACAGTGGGCGGTGGGCTCCCTGGCGTCCACCCACTTTCAGAGCTTCAAGGTTGACCAGCCCTCCGGGTCCCTTGTCCACGCCTCTGCTGGTGAGGGCGATGGGCGGCTTCCCACAGGAGGGGGGAGAGAAACATCGATGTGAGAGCAGGGATCGAGCCTGCAACCTGGGCATATGCTCTCACTGGGAATTGAACCGGCAACCTTTTGCTGCATGGGATGGTGCCCAACCAGCTGAGCCCACAGGCCAGGGCCAGATGCTTTTAAGGTGACCAGATCGTCCCGTTTTTGGCGGGACAGTCCCGATTTCTAACAGTTTTCCCCTGCGTCCTGCGGCGTTTTTAAAAAGTTCAGGTTTTTGGAAAGATTGGAAAGATTTATAAAATTTATACCAGCACTGCCTCCAGGCCAGGCGTCGGCCACAGTGATGATCCTGCAGCGGTGTGGGTGGGTGGACTTACTCTCCCATCTGAAAGACGAGAAGGTGGGGTGCGGAGAGTGCCCAGCACTGGAGGAGGGCGAGCCCCACTGCTGGATTCGGGTCCCCGAGTTCGTCTTCCCCACACACCCCGCCCTTGGAGCGGCCTGGAAAGCCGATCCTGGAATGCGTTGTCCTGTGCCGGTCTTAGGCTTTTTATAAGCACTCTCCTGGATAACGGTGCAAAAAGACACTATTTTACAAGATGAAGCCAAAGAATGCCAGCCCTTTCCCCCCTAGGAGTATGAGATTTAGAGCTACGTTTATGAAATCATCCCTTTGTACATGTCATTGTTCCTATTTTGGAATAAAAACATACCTTTAATTACATTTGTCTTTTGTACATATGCAACTTCATTCTGTTCTCCCCATTTTATTAAACTAAAAAAAAAAACCAACCCCAAACCACCCCAAGCGAATATGCTTGTTGGTTCCAGTCTTACAAATAAAACTCACACGTTTGTTTCTCTGGGGGTGTGGACGTCCTTTTAAGCAGAAGCTGTGTGGCCAGTGCTTTCTGGGGCTGCCTGCTAATAACCAAACAGCATGACGGAAAAGGGTTTTGGAAAGGAAGTAAGACTAACCCCACGCTGGAGGGGCAGAGTAACACAAGGAAGAGTCACAGAGAGAAGGCAGATGGGTGGACATGGAGGGGACCGTGGCTGGGCGTGTACGAAGGAGCGTGCCGCGCGGGACAGTGGCTCTCGGGGTGCTCTGAGCCCCCCCTCCCCCCGTGGCTAAAGCTGAAAGGGGCTTCTGTGAGGAGGTTTGTGGGAAATACAGGCTCTTCGCCATCATCGCCATCACTATCATCATCATCATCATCGGTACCACCAGCAGCAGCAGTGTAGAGAGAGCAGGGCCGAGCATGAGGTAGCGCAGCTGCCTTGGGGCCGTGTCCACAGCTTCAGCACCAGGGGTGTGGACAGCGCATTGCTCCCAGCCTAGAGCCAAGATGAGCAAATGGAGCTCCGTGCCCAGAGGGCGTGCCCACATCAGCTGGAAGTCCAGGTTCATCGCTGGGCTGGGCTGGGCTGGGGTTGGGCCCCCCTCGGGCTGCTGGTCTCCACCCCCCTGCCTCAGCCTCCGCTCCCTTCTTCTCAGGGCTTGGAGACTGGGGGGGTGGGGAGGGGGGAGCCCCCAGCAAAGGCAGGGTCACACAGATGTGTGCAGCAGATTTGTTTACAGTTGCCCAAACCTGCAGGCAGCCGAGATGGCCTTCTGCAGGTGGATGGATGAATGCACTGGGGCCTTCCACTCAATGGAAGATGGCTCAGCACCAAAAAGAAATGAGCTATGGAGCCATGAAAAGACAGGGAGCTGGGGAGGTGGCGAGGTGAGCGCAGGATTTTCAGGGCGGTGGAGCTACACTGGAAGGTACTCTGATGATGGATCTCTGTCAAAACCACAGAATGGCCCAGCCAGGTGGCTCAGTGGTTGAGCATCTACCTATGAACCAGGAGGTCATGGTTCAATTCCTGATCAGGGCACAGGCCTGCATTATGGGCTTGATCTCCCACAGGGGGCGTGCAGGAGGCAGCCGATCCATGATTCCCTCTCATCATTGATGTTTCTATCTCTCTCTCCCTCTCTGAAATCAATGAAAATGTATTTTTTTAGAAGGCCGTGGAATGTACAGCATGAGGAGTGAGCCCTAGTGATAATGACGTGTCAATGTCACTTCGTCGGTTGTAACAAACAGTCCACTCTGGTGTGGTGGTGATGGGGGGAGGGTTTCTCGGTGTGGGAACAGAGACATAGGGGAACTCTCAGCTCAGTTTTTCTGTGAGCCTCAACTGCTCCAAAAAGCCACTGGTGAAAAACACACAAAACATTTACTTTATTGAAAAAGAGCCTGATGTGACTTTTCCCATGCTGTGTCCTCCGCACGGAACTCAGGGTGAGTCGGATCCTGTTCCGAGAGCCCCTGAGGCGGCTGGGACGCTGAGTCATGAGCCCAGGGAGCTCCCATCAGAGATGCTGAGTCATGAATTCAGGGAGTTCCCCTCTGGATGCTGAGTCATGAACCCAGGGAGTTCCCCAGCTGGGATGCTGAGTCTTGAACTCAGAGTTCTCCTTTCAGGGATGCTGAGTCATGAACCCAGGGAGCTCCCATCAGAGATGCTGAGTCATGAACCCAGGGAGTTCCCCAGCTGGGATGCTGAGTCTTGAACTCAGAGTTCTCCTCTCAGGGATGCTGAGTCATGAGCCCAGGGAGCTCCCCTTAGCGATGCTGATTCAGGAACCCAGGGCTCTCCCTGTCCCTTAAGAGGTGTGGACGGGGCGGCCTCTGAGCTCCACCCCTCTGGCCAGGCGAGCCTCTGAGCCTGTTTCTGCTTCTGGGGAATGATGGCCTTGACCTTGAGAAGGGGAGCCGAAAAGCACTGGCCCGTGGAAGGGATCGGAAACGTCCAGCCAACTGCGTCCTCTTCCTGAAAGGCCAGAGGACGGAGCAGCCATCACGGATGCAGAGGTCAGGGAAGGCTGCGGAGGGTCTCACCTGGGCCCAGGAAGCGGGCACGTGGGAAGGGGAAGCGAGGCGGGGAGGGGCATTCTGGGAAGAGGCCATCGCATGAGCTTTAGAAGGTTTAGAAAGGGCAAACCCCAAAGTGCTCTGGGGGCTTCCGGGGGGCTCTCAGGCTCTGTGCTGGGAGCCGGGGGTGGGGAGGGGACACGGCGGGAGTGTTTCAGGGGGAGGCCGCCAGCCTGGCCCGCCGGTCCCCCGGGGCGGGGACAGACTCCTGGGAGCCAGCTCTGCTGCAGGAGAAGGTGGGAGTCTGCAGCCGATGGAAACCCAAAGTAAAACGGAGGCTCAGTTTTGCTGTATGTGAAATGGAGCCACTCCAGCCTGCCTCAGGGCGACTGCGAGGATTCCTGGCTGCTACTGCTTCCTGAAGGCCGATCGGCGCCAGGCATAGAGTCGAGGTGCAAGGCCTCGTGTCCCCACCGCGCCCCCCTGAGAGGGACACTGTTTCTGTCCCCGTGTTTCCCAGATAAGGAGGCCAGGGCTCCTGAGGCTGAGCAGCCCGCCCTGAGTCAGGACGGCTTCTAAAGGCCGAGTCAGGCCGAGAGCCCAGGGCTGTGTGACTCGGACGCAGAGGTCCACCCCGGGAGCCTGTCCTCGCTCACGTCCCATCCCATGCCCGTGTGTCCCAGGCACCCAGTGCGGCTCTCGGCAGCCCTGCAGCCCTGCGTAGGGGCAGGAGGCAGATCAGCTGCCCGCCAGCTCCGCCTCCTGCCCCATCTCCGGCACAGGTTGCCCTCAGGGCTGTGAAACCGCTGCCGGCCCAGAACGCTGAGCCCTGCGCCCCCCTCTGTCCCCCTCTTTCCGGAGGCCGCACAGAGACACCGGGGAGGGTCTGCCGTGATCAGAGCAGCTGCCCATGTGCCGTACTGGCTGCCACCTGGCTTCTGGCTGAACGCTGAGTGCGGCAGGTGTCACCACTCGGTCCTGTCACTGAGATTCTTAAAATAGCTTCACAGGACGAATTAAGAACTGCAAGAGTGGCGGTGACATTGCTCAGCAGAAGTGTCTTCATGCGCCGTGTTCTCCTGGCACCTCAGGCTGAGCGGGGCGTCCGGCTGTGGGACCTGGTCCGGGGGTGGGGGTGGGAGCTGGTCCGGGGAGGGGTGGGAGCTGGTCGGGGGGGGGGGAGGGGGGAGGGGGAGCTGGTCTGGGAGTGGGGCGGGCACCCAGCTTCGAGGCTGTGCCTGTTGGTCCCTCCTGATACTGCGCTTGCCCAGGTGAGGAAGGCCTGCATGGCTAGGACCAGGCGTGGTGTCTGAGGCCGGGGATCAAGGACTTCTGTGCCCTCACTGGATGCAAGACCGGAAGCCACTGGCCCCGCACAGGGAGGGACTCAGACACACTGACGGCGCCCATGTTTGCCGGCACTTCTCTCACCACCTGGGTTGGGGAGGGATGATGTGGTCAGGGCCCCGGGGAAGAGGGGCCTGGCTGGGGAGGGTTTGGAGATCCAGGGAGGGGCTTCTCTGAGCCAGCGGGTAGCGGGTAGCTGAGCGCTGTGCGGTGTGGTGGTGGCCACTGACCGGCGCCCCTGACTTCCCCAGGGGTGGCGGCAGCTGGGGGGGGAGGGGGACAGGGAGGTCCCCCAAAGCCCTGGCGTGCTCTCCCTCAGCCTTTTGGGAGGTGTCCTGCCCCCACACATGCGGCCCCCCCTCTCCCATCAGATTAGATCCCTCCGGTCTGAATCCCAGTCTGACCTTCAGGCTGGTGACCCTGGGGAGTCTGGCCCTGTACCTCTTCCAGCCCGAGGACGGACTGATGCCGGCCAGCAGGGTCCTGCCCGCTGCCTCCTGCCCCTCGCCCCGAACGCTGGCCCCCCGGCTGCATGCTCCGGGCCTGGGTGTCTCGTGCTGTGAGCCAGCCCGTCCCGGTGGGGGAGGCCTGCAATACAACCCTGCTCCCTCCGGCCTTGTGACTTGGCCCGGCTCCTGGGCTGAGGGAGCGCCTGCCGGGCAGTGTCTCCCCGGCTCCTGCTCCCCGAGGTGCCGCCGGCCACCGCAGAGCCCCCCCCGCCCCCAGAGCTCGGAGTGTGGTGAGGGGGGCTTCCCGAGGGCCGGCCATGGAGGAGCAGGGCGACACCAGCGGCTCCAGCTCGGAGTCCCCGCCCGACAAGAGCCCCCCGGAATCGGACTCGCCGTGGTCGTGGGTAAGGGCCGTGGGGCCCCTGTGAGCTGCCGACCCCCAGAGGGTGCCCTGGGCCGCAGGACAGTGTGTGCTGACAGGTGTCCGTTAGGGGACAGCTGCTCCTGGGCTCCTGTTCCGGAGGCTGCGATTACAGAGGATTTGGAACCACTGAGGCATCAGTGAGGCGTTCCTTTGCTTTGGAGAGAAAACACCCCGAGACGGAGCCGGGCGTGTGGAGGGCCTCCTGCTTCCCAGCCTGTGCTGGGGCCTCGCACTGTCTGTGAGGGCGAGGGGCTCCGAGCCGAGTGTCTCTGAGTGCTGATGCTGTGTGCTGTGTGTGTCATGTGTGCTTTGTGTGTGCTGTGTGTTGTGCGTGTGCTCTGTGGTGTGTGCTGTGTGCGTTGTGTGTGCTGTATGTTCTGTGTGCCGAGTGTGCTCAGTGTGTGCAGTGTATGCGGTGTGCTGTGTGTGCTGTGTGTGCTGAGTGCTGTGTGTGCTATGTGTGTTGTGTGTGCTGTATGTTCTGTGTGCTGAGTGTGCTGAGTGCTGAGTGTGCTCAGTGTGTGCAGTGTGTGTTGTGTGTGCTGAGTGCTGTGTGTGCTCAGTGTGTGCTGTGTGTGTTGTGTGTGCTAAGTGTGCTGAGTGCTGTGTATTCCTGTGTGTTATGTGTGCTGAGTGATGTGTGCGGTGTGCCATGGGCTGCACTGGACTCAGAACCAGCGGCCGGGCCGTCCTGCCTGTGCAGCCTCATCCTACCCCCTGGGGCTCCGGGGTGGGTGGCGAGAAGGTTGTGCAGAGGAGATGTCTCACCTGAGCCCAGCGCAGGAGCGGGGTGTCCGTGGACATGGGTGCTGAGGGGGCCCGGGCTGGAGCCCGGTGTTTGCTGTTTCTCCCCACGGCCAGGGGTTTGGCTGTGTGAGCAGATGTGTGGGACCCGCCCTGGGGGCGCCTGGACCCTGGGCCCCACCCTGGGCCTCCTGGGCAGAAGGCTGGGCTGGCACCACGTCCGAGGGCTGCGTGCCAGGAGCAGAGGGTGCCCGGGTCTTTCCGCAACCAGGGAGGCGGCGGGAGGCGTGTGCCACCCCCGGGGCAGACGGAGCCTCTGGCTGCGGCCCCGTCCCTTCCCTCAGGGCGGCTTGTGGGTGCCGGGGGAGCCGGGGCCCCCAGATTCCCAGGCTAAGACCTTCCCTGGCCTGTGCGGCCCCGTGGCCCGGGTGCCCCCTGTGTGACGGCGACTTCCTTCCGGGGGAGCAGGCCTCCGGGGCAGGAGGGTCAGGGGGGCAGGGGCTGGGGCTGCAGGGCTGGCCCCTGAGGGTGTCTTCCCCGGGCACAGGGCCCCCAGGGCTGGGGCTGCGGGGCTTGGCTGGGCGTGTGCCCCGTCTGGAAGAATGTGACCAGCAGTGCTGGAGGCGGCTGCACAGGGGGTCCTGGGAGCCTGGCCAGCCGCTCCAGGGCCAGAGCTGGCCTCCGAACCAGCCCTGAGGACGGAGGAGGCCTGGCAGAGGGGTCTCCAGCACAGCTGCAGGGCACACAGCACGGGAAACAGGCAGAGGCCGTGCGGGAGAGGGGGAGGAGCCGGCGGGCTGGCTGTTTCGGGAAGAGGAGAGAGGCCGGGCCACGGTGGGATGCCGTGTCCTGGCGCGGGCGAGGGCAGCTGGCCGCACTGGGTGCCCTCGGAGGCACCTGCTCCGTTGGCACCGCCACCTGCAACATCGGCCACCACCGTTCCAGGAGCCTGTGGGCTTGACCTCCAAGCCTGCGTGTGTGCAGAGCCCCCTGGGGCGTGCAGAGAGGGGGAGGCCTGGTCCCCCCTGTGAGAGGTCACGGGCAGGCGGAACCCGGCGCTGAGCAGGGAGGGCTCTCCGAGAAGCCGGCGTTGGGGCGGCGGTGGGGAGGGCAGGGTTTCAGCAGAGCCCCGGGGGCGGGCTGCCAGGCGGGGCTCAGCCTGAGCGGAGAGCTCCGAGGGGACAGGCTGTTCCCTGGAAGGAAGCCGGCAGGGCTCTCTCCTCGGCCGCTCGGGTTTGATTTCTCCGGAGCTGGAGCCCGCAGGGCGCCATTCACCGCTGTCAGGTGGCCGGCCTGGGACAGAAAGCCAACACCCTGGGCCCGTGGTCGGCAAACGGCAGCTTTCGAGCCACAGGCGGCTCTCTGGCCCCTGGAGTGCGGCTCTTCCACAAAACACCACGGCCTGGGCGAGTCTGTGTTGAAGACGTGGCATGAGAAGAGGTTAAGTTTACGCTTAAAAAATGTGGCTCTCCAGAGACATGTCAGTCGTTGTGTTGTTGGTCTTTGGCTCCGTGGACTGAGGAGTTTGCCCTGACAGCTGCCCTGAGCCAAATGCGGAGGCTTCAGAGGGAAGGTTGGGCCTGGGCTCAAACTCCAGCCGTGCCACGTGCACACTTTGCTTCCCTGGAGGCTGGCGTTCTCCTCTGTGAAATGGGCTTCCAGCACCTAATGACGCCACCCTGGCAGGAGCTTGGTAAATGGCAGCTATTATTGGTAAAAGCACTGAACCTGAAAAAAAAATTTTAAAAGCCAGCCCCCGGGTGCGGGTGGGACTGTAATGAAGTGGGGGGAGGAATCGGATCATTTCACGTGGGCCGTGGTCCAGGCACTGGGCCTCGGCTCCCGGGGCACAAGTCCAGCCTGGGTTCTGGCCGGAGGCCGGCTGGGCCAGTCCGAGGGGTGGGGATCCTTCCGGCACCTGTCCGTCCGGATGCCCAGAGGGGCCCCGACCGGGATTGTCGACACCTGCCCTCCCTTTGCTACCGAGGAAAATGGGCGGACGCCTCCCTGCGGGTGACAGGGGGCAGCTGGCGAAGAGGCCAGGATGGTGAGCGTGCTGCCGTCCCCCTTTCCCCACATCAACCACCTCTGGCCAACCCACCGTCCTGCTCCCCTTCACCGGGGCCCGGGCAGCCGAGCTGGAAACCCCTGTGTGTGTGTGTGTGTGGGGGGGGGTACGGGGAGGGGAGGACCCTCCTTCAGGCTGTTCAACTCCGGAATCACTGGTGGACTTCTTTTCGAGTCTCCAGGCCTCTGACGGGTGGGCGGAGCCGTTCTGTTTGGCCCGGTGGTGGTGGGGGGGTGGGAGGACCCTGTGTCCACACCTCATCACCTCCGGCAGGCCCGGCCATGTCCTCCGTGAGCCCATAGGAAGGAAGGCGGGGAGCCTGGGCCTGCTGTCCTTTGGCAGCCGCGTTCTGTGCTCAGAAAGACCCCTAGAGGGCGCTGTCCCACTGGGACCCAGGACCAGGCACCCTCGGGTGGGATTACCCGCCTCCGCTGCAGGGAAGTGGGGGACCAGTGAAAAGTGAATTCATCCGGGGAGCACTCAGCCCACAATCCTGCGGACACCCTCCGGGGGATCCTCTCAGGCTACGGACACGGTGGCTGGGACTCACAGGCGTTGGAGAGAAAGGGACAGGACCGGACGGGACGCCCTCCCTGCCCTGACCCAGGCAGGAAGCGAGTGTATTAATAGCCGCCCGGCCCCGGACGAGCGCGATGGGGTCGGGTGTCTGGGCTCTGGGCCATCGGAAGCGCCCAGTGGGGCAGAGGTCGCCGGCCGGGAAGCGAAAGGCCAGGCTTGCACGTGGAGTGCCGCGCCGCCCCCTTGTGTAACGGCGTTTTGCAAACACGGGAGAGAGTCCCAGTGCGTGGACAGTTCAAAGGGCTTTCAAAAACGACAAGCGTCCGGGTTCGAGATGCTTGTGCGGTGCCCTGGGTGCTTCCTGGGTGCCGGTGCCCGGGACGCACTGGCCGGGAGCCCTCTCCGTCCCCCTGAGAGCCTGGGAGCGGAGGGCGAGCCCCGGGCACAGGCAGGCGCCCGGAGAGCTCCCCTCACTGATTCTCTGTCCTCCCGGGAGCCCTCTCCGACCCCCTGAGAGCCGGGGAGCGGAGGGCGAGCCCCGGGCACAGGCAGGCGCCCGGAGAGCTCCCCTCACTGGCCGGGGCTCCTGAGCAGCGAGGAAGCCATGGTCCCCGCACAGCCCTCCTGCTTCCCAAAGCCTTGCTCTGATTCTGGGACCCAGTATATGGATTGTGTTACATCTGGAAATCTGACCATCACTCATGAGCATCTTTTTTAAATTTTTATTTAAAGATATATTTTATTGATTTTTCACAGAAAGAAAGGGAGAGGGATAGAGAGCTAGGAACATTGATGAGAGAGAAACATCGACCAGCTGCCTCCTGCACAACCCCCCACCGGGGATTGCCTGCAACCAAGGTACATGCTCTTGACTGGAATGGGACCCTTCAGTCCGCAGACCGACACTCTATCCATTGAGCTAAACCAGTTCCAGCATGAACATCTTAAAAATAATAATTATGTATATATATATATATATATATATATATATTATTGATTTTTTTTTTACAGAGAGGAAGGGAGAGGCTGATAGAGAGTTAGAATCATCGATGAGAGAGATACATCAATCAGCTGCCTCCTGCACGCCCCCTACTGGGGAGTGCCTGCAAGCAAGGTACATGCCCTTGACCAGAATCGAATCCGGGACCCTTCAGTCTGCATGCTGATGCTCTATCCACTGAGCCACGCCGGCCAGGGCATGAACATCTTTCTTTGCCTACACAACACGGATAAAATAGGTGAGGAGGAAGGAGCTAGAAAAGAGCCAGCGGTAGGAAATCAGCCACCCAAGCCCATTTCCACACCCGCAGGATGCTCGCCTCTGCGGCTGAACCTACTACAACATTACCCAACCCGCCCCGCGCCGCCCCGCCAGGGCCCCAGGGCACGCTGGGAGATTTTATCAGACGCCTTGTCAAAACCATCGCGGGCACATGCCTGGGCGGCCTCGTGCCTGGGCGTGCATGCGTGCGGGTGCCCGGAATTCCTCCCACCCGAGAACCTGCTTCTCCCAGGACAAACGAACGGGTTTCCCTGGCCAGAGTTGTGCCTTCGGCATTCTGGTGCCGGCCACTTTCTCTTTTTATTTTATTTTAATTAAAAAAATATATATTTTATTGATTTCTTACAGAGAGGAAGGGAGAGGGATAGAGAGCTAGAAACATTGATGAGAGAGAAACATTGACTAGCTGCCTCCTGCACACTTCCTACCGGGGATGTGCCCGCAACCAAGGTGCATGCCCTTGACCAGAATCGAACCTGGGACCTTTCAGTCCACAGGCCAATGCTCTGTCCACTGAGCCAAACCAGTTTTGGCTGGTGCCTTCCGCTTTCTGCCAGTGCCCATGTCCCTGGCTTTCCAACGCTAGGAGCCATGCCCGCTGGGGGGGGGGGGGGGGAGGGGGTGTGCAGGGTTGCGTTCACGTGGTGACCCCGGTTCCATGACACCTCGCCCTCGGGGGCATCCCCAGGGGACGCTGGCATCCTCAGAGCAAGGCGTCGCCACTCGCCCGGGATTTGGAATCGTTTCACGTCTGGTGACAATACTGGGGGACAATGCCTTCTTGCTTTGGCCCTGGCCAGTGTGAGCTCCCGGGAGGGACCCCGTCTGTGACACGGGCTGCTGTGGGGGTGCGGCGAGCTGACACAGCGCATCCTGATGCCGGGCCGCCTGGCGGAGGGAGCGTTCCCGGGTCCGGCTGCTGGAGGTCCTGCCTCCGCAGGTTCGAGGGGACCTGAGCGTGGGCAGGGCTGGAGGGCTCTCCTGGGGACCCCGAGAAGCCAGCCCTGGGCATCCCGAGTAGCGATGCCTGCCGCGTGCTGAGCACCCAGCCCCGGAGGCCGAGCAGGTGCTGTGCGGACGGAGCCTCGGCCTCGCTCCCCTCCCCTCCCCTCCATCCTCCCTACCCTTTGTGTCCATGGGGAGGAACCCACAGGCGCCCCTCGTTTAAACTGCTCTTCCCAGGAGGCTTTCTGCGAGAAAAAGAAAGGAAAGAGCAGTACTTAGCTCAGGGTTCACTGACATTTCACCGCCAGGCACAGAGGCTGTAGGCTCCCCCTTTCTGAGCCCGTGATGGAGGGAGGGAGAGGTTTCGTGCCCCGCCCCTGAGACCCTGGGCTTGCGTTGCAGCCGGAGAGATGGGTGAGATCGAGGCCAGCTAAAGCGGAAGCGCAGTTTTATCTTGGGTCAGGGGCCAGCCTTCCTCACTCACGTCCTTCAAGCCACCCTCCAGGGCTTTCTCGGTACCTCTGTCCAGCTGTGGACAGGTCGTTGTGACAGATACACCCGGGAGGTGGCGCTAGAGAGTCAGAGGTGGAAAAGGCAGAGAGCTGGTTGCTGGGGGGATTTTATGGGGGGTAGGGGGGCTGTGGGAGGGTCAGGCGGGCAGTGGTCTCTGGAAGGGGCTCTGCATCAGGATCCCTGAGCGCCGTTTCCCTTTGTAAATTCCATGGAACCCCAGATCCTAGCCCCACGGAGTCAGATTTCTGGACCTGAGCCGTGGGCACGGCCAGCCAGTGGCCGGTGTGACTGGGGTGCGGCTGCGGGGCAGGCGGATGTAGGCATTCTGGGGTGATCTAGAGGTGGCCCAGGCGCTCCACGGAGAAAGGGGCCGCTGTCGGAGCAGGTCTGAACTAGGAGTCAGAGTGCGGCCCTCCGCCGCTCAGCACAGCCTGGGAGCCAACCGGAAATGCAGGTGCCCAGGCCCTGCCCAGAACCCGCCTTGTTAACCAGCGGCCCCCAGGCCCTGTGTGTCCCTGGGCCTGCCTCCCGGTTGTTTGTGGAAAGAACTGCATGTTCGGGAAGCCTAGCCCAGCTCCCGCCGCATTTCAGCAGCCCCGAGTCTATGGGATGGAGCCGTGCGCCCGGGGGCCGGGGGGCCTGGGGGCCTGGGGGCCGGAGCCGGGGCAGGGACAGGAAGGAGCCCCCTCCGGCCACGCCGGGCTAACCCGGGGGTGGGCGTAGGCCCCTGTTCTCCTGCATTGGCCTGAAGCCTGCAGCCCTGAGCCATGACTCGGGAATTCCGCTGCCTCCCAGTGCCAGGATGCTCAGAGCTTGCTGAGCCTTGGGGGCCCCCTGGCTCCTTCCTGGCCTGCATTGTAGTGCTCTGCCTGGCAGGGTGGGGGAGGCATCTCTCACGGGGGGAAGGGGGAGAGCTGGGCGGTTGTCTTAGAGGCCGAACACCTGCCTCACATCTACTCCCGTCAGCCTTGCTGGTGTGGGAGCCCAAGATCCTGGGCACCAAGCCGCCCCCCCCCCCCATGTCCCTCCCCACCTCCCCTCTCACTCCTCCCTCTCCCAGCAGGCCGGAAGCAAGCCCCACCCCCAGGTCCCTGCAGTAATGTGGGGGGAACGTGGGGGTGGGGGGGAGAGAGGACAGGCCCAACCCCTCACGCCTTCCTCAGCGCGGCTGTTGGTCGCTTTCCCAGCGGGTCCCAGTGCTATTTGCAGCCCTGCCTGGGGTGTGAGCGGCCAGGGGTGGCCAGACAGTGTCCCAGGCTCAGGGCTGACTGTGTTGTCCTTTGCTCTCAAGCAAGGGACAGCTTTTCCCTCCAGCACCCCTGCCCCCCCAGTCAGGTGCCGGCTCCCCTGCGGGGGTGTCTGTTGTCTCTGCTGGCTCAGCCGGTGGGTGCGGGGGGGGGGGGGGTGTGTTGAGCCTGGAGGACGGGCACACTGTGTCCCGCAGAGTCTGGGCTCCTGGGCCACTGCCCCTCCCGCCTGCCCAGCTCTGCCCCCTGGCCCGGGCCCAGCTTCCTCGGCCGCCTCGGGAGACCGGCGTCCGCAGGAGGAACTGGACGTCCCGCGGCCAAAGGGCTCCGCTGGGCTCTTTACGTAAAAGCCCTCCCCGTCGGAGCCAGGGCCGCCGGGACTGGCTGCCGGGCCACCCGCCTCTTCTGAGAAACGCCGAACAGGCACGTGGCACTCCGTCCGCAGGCAGAGGCGGCGGCAGTCCTCTGTGTCTGGGGGGTGGGACCCGCCCCCGCCCCTTGTGCGCTCAGGGTCAGGGCCTGGCTCTGCTTTGCCCAACGCTGGGCTTGCCGTCTTGGGAGCCGCGGGGCAGGCTGGGCCGGGGCTGGCCAGCTGGCCGGGGGGGCCGTGCCATCCCGAGGGGAAGGCCCTTCCTGCCCGCGGGGCGGCCTTGGGACATCACTGAGGCTTTCTGAGGCCCAGCTTCTCCAGTAAAAGCAGATGGCAATCCCCACTCAGCTTAGCGAAGAAGGACAGGCGCTGACTGTGTATCTGGCACACAGTAGGTCTGCGTTATGACTCCGCACTGAGGAAGAGGCGCAGGGCGAGAGCCCTCCCCGTGCAGCTTCTCACGGCCACCACGTGTCAGGGAGACGGGGGGCTGGGCGCGTGGCATCCAGGGCTCATCGCCACCTGCAGCCAAGGGCCCGGGGTCCCCGGGAGTCTGCCCAAGTGCAGGCGCCCGGCCCCGCCGCCAGAGCCGGACGGTGATGCCCGGGGCATGGTGGGTTATGTGGCAGAGTCTCAGGGCTGCCCGGAGCCCTGGTGTGCGTGGCCCTCCGGCCTCTGCCGTCCTGCCCTCTGTCCCATTGTGCTCTCTCCCTGCCCTGGCCCACGGCCGCCCCTCAGGCCCTGCTCCTGGGCTGGGGCAGAAACCTCCGTGCCCCCTCCCCGCCCCTCTGCAGGCAGCTCGGACGGAGGAAGGCCAAGGCCTTGGGGTTGGATAGACCCAGGCAGGTTCAACGTGGCCACGTCCACAGCCATGGATTCCGGGGAAGTGGCCCATCAAAGATTCTCTCTCTCGTCCGTGTTTCTTGCTCTCTATCCCTCTCCCTCCCTCTCTCTCTAAATTCAATAAAAAGATATATATTAAGGTGAGCAGACGTCCTGCTTTTGGAGGGACAGTCATCCTTTTGAACAATTTGTCCATGTTCCTGATTCAAAAATACACACACACACACACACACACACACACGCACACACGTGATGTTTAGGGTATTTACAGGGCTGTGTGAGACCCTTCCCGCTATGGAATTCCAGGACGTCACCCACTCATCGCTTGTGTTTCTGTGTTTCAGATTCCCATGATGAGAGACTCTGGATGGATTCGGAGTGTGTGGTCCTCAAACATTAACGTAAGTGACGCTGCTGTGAACGTCCTAAGATCTCATGGCATTTCATGAGGAGAGACAAAACTCTTAGACACGCTGTGGGCACGGCCACTTAGACACGCTGTGGGCATGGCTACGGGCAGACGCAGGCCACGCAGCTCTGGCCACCGAGCCAGTCTGCAGCGCTGTTCTCAGCGGGTGGGCAGCCCCGGATGGAGCCAAGGACATCTCGGTCCTTTTCTGTTCTCTCTCTCCCTGCGATCCGTCCTCCCCCGGGCCTGGGGTTCCTATCAGCCCAGGATGCTGCCGCCCTGCTGTGTACCGTCACGTGTGTCTGATAAGATGCGTGGGGCCGCCCACAGCCCTTTAAGGTCCTTGGGCACCGCGGTCGGCAAACTGCCGCTCATGAGCCACAGGCGGCTCTCTGGCCCCTGGAGTGTGGCTCTTCCACAAAACACCACGGCCTGGGCGAGTCTATGTTGAAGACGTGGCATTAGAAGAGGTTAAGTTTTAAAAAATGTGGCTCTCCAGAGAAATGTCAGTTGTGCTGTTGATGTTTGGCTCTGTGGACCGATGAGTTTGCCGACCGCTGCTTTGGCAGATCCCGCCTCTGCCTCTTGTGGCCACTGGTTCCTCCTGCCCAAGGCCAGTCCCCAAGCCTGAGCCAGGCCCTGCGGGCAGCCCCCGTGACTGTGCTGGGCGCTCTGATCTCCGCTTTGCCCACGGATGCTGTCTTTCGGGATCTCCCTAGGCCCCAAGTTCAGCAGCCCAGAGGCCATGCCCGCCCCTCACGCCTGTCCCAGCGCCTAGACTCTCCTCATGGGTCCGCCTGTCGGAGCCTCTGTTGTGTGGGAGGGGTATTCGCTGGAGCCCTCCAGTGGTCTCCCATGGCCAGCTCCTCTCTCCTGGGGCATGCACCGGCCCTGGAGCCAGACTTAGCGTCAGTGACATCCTACAATGTGCTACGCCCCCATGCCCCTGAACCTGAGACGTGCGCCTGTGGAGGAGGGGTGTGAGGTCATCCGTTTGGGGGGGGGGTTCCCGGAAAGGACCTGGGGGAGGGTCCGGGGACGAAGTGATAACGCCTGGACGTCCTTGTCCCTCTGAGGCCCGTCCCACGCCGGGGGGGGGGGGGGGGGGGCGTAGAACCAAAGCAGCAACACTTGCTCTTTGTTCGTGCAGCGCTCCCGCTGTGAGGGGGCCCTGGGCGGGGGGGGGGGGGGGGGAGCGAGGCTTTTTTGGGGGGTCTCGGGAGACCTTGTGCAGTGCCGGCCGGAGCGGGGCTCTGTCCTGCGATGAGACCAGAGGCCCCCGCTGAATGAATGAAACAGGCTGCCGGGGGAGGCCTGGCCGGGGACTCGGTGAGGAGCAGAACGTCCATATCCGGGGGATTGGCAGGGCCGGGGCCCAATCAGAGGTCAGGCGCGCTGGCCCGCGGGCAGTTAGTGGCTGTTGAGCCTGGAGTGGGAGCCATCTCCACGAGGAGACGGCCGCCAGGTCCCGGGAAGCAGTGGGCAGTAGGCGAGCATCTCCTGCAGGTAGGGCGCAGGGCAGCGGGAGGGCCTGAGGCTGCTCCCCCCGGCCAAGCCCCCGCTCCAGGCGGAGGCGGCTCTGGGGTGGGGGTGCTGGAGCCCAGGCCACCGGATCCCCAGCCCCGGCCGTGGCCATGGCATCCAGCGAGGCAGGCGGGGCAGGCCCTCGGCGGAGCCGCTCTGGGCCCGGCGCCGAGCCCTCAGGGAGCGCATGGTGACCAGACAGGAGCCTGGGGCGGCGGGAGGCGGCGGCTTCTGCTCAGGGGCGACAGGACAGACTGTCACCATCTAGGACAGGGGAGGACAGGCAGGGGTCCAGGCTCTGCTCACGCTCTGCCACCCAGAGTGGGTGTGCTGTGTGCGACATGTCGGCTGCTTCGCTGAGCTCCGTCTACTGCTCCTGTGTACGTGAGCCCTGTTCAGCACCTGCTGTGTATGTGAGCTCTGTTTAGCGCCCGCTGTGTACGTGAGCCCCGTTCAGCGCCCGCTGTGTACGTGAGCCCTGTTTAGCGCCTGCTGTGTACGTGAGCCCTGTTTAGCGCCCGCTGTGTACGTGAGCCCTGTTCAGCGCCCGCTGTGTACGTGAGCCCCGTTTCGTGCCTCCTGTAGCTGGGGAGCCCACCCAGCCGGCAGCGTGAAGGGCTTGCCGTCCGCCACCGGGCCCTGGGGGTTTGTAACTCAGCTCCGTGGGTGGAGGATTACATGTCCCCGGGGGAAGGGGAGGTCACGCAGTCTTGGAAAGGCCTAGGGTAGGCAGGCGTGGAGGGCGGGGCACCTGGGAGAGAGACCTGGAGGAGGAGGAGGGGGAGGAACACCTGCCCCCGCCCCCGGTGTTCCTTCTTGTCCGCAGTGGGCATGGAGCTGCGCGTGTCGGAGGACGTTGGCTGTGGCCCTGGCAGGACGTGTCCTCCCCGGCGCTTCTCCCTGGGACACGGGCCCCGGCCCCGCTCTGCGCCGCGTGGGGTGGCGGCGGGCGCCGTCACACGCGCTATAACCGGAGAGCGCGGCCGGTTCCTGCCCGGGAGCCCCGGGTCTCGCAGGCACACCCCACGGCCCTCTCTCCTCCGACAGACAGACATGAAGCCGGGCAGCCTGTGCGCGCTCACCGGGGCCCTCCTCCTCCTCCTCCTCCACGGCCCCCGGGGGGCTCAGCCCGGCCCCACGCGGGCGGCGGACAAGCCCGGCTACTGCCCCGAGTTCTGGCTGGACTGCCCGTTCACCATGCTGCCCACCTGCTGGCGCGACCGCGGCTGCCGGCGGGCCAAGAAGTGCTGCTTCTACAACTGCCGGCGCCAGTGCACGGAGCCCTGGGGGAGCCTGGACTGAGCCCCCGCCCGCGGCCGGGACCCGGTCTCCACTCCGTCCTCCTCCCCCACGCCCTGCCTCAGTGCTCAGTGCTCAGGGCTCACAGTTTGGAAACAGCACAGAAATAAAGCGTTGCGTATTTAAGGCGAAAAAGAGGAGCGTGGAGGGGCTGTCTCACTCCCCGCCCCGCAATCCCCGCTCCCGCGGCCCCGGCGCCGGGGGGGTGGGGGGGGGGTGGGGGGGGCCTGTCCCTGTTTTCTCTCGCCGGGGACACTGTCTGCCTGACCTCGAACCTGAGGTGTGTCTCCCTCAGACTCCCCCCACGGGCCTAGCACTCAGACACGGCGGGTTGCACAAATGAGCTCATTCTTTGGGACAATCCTTCCTGCTTCCATCACGGTAAGGGCGCCGATATATATTTTTAATTTTTTAATTGATTTTTTTTTTTTTTTTGAGAGAGAGAGAGGAAGGTCAGAGTCCATGTTCCTCTATTCTCCATTCCCCCCGTTGCCACGGGGGAGCCTGAGGTCTTGGGGTGACGGGCCTCCTGAGTGACCGAGCAGAGCTCCCCAGACCACGCCCAGTTGAGGACACCCCAGCTCCCAGGAGGACCTGTGCTCCATCTCCTGGGCCGGGGCCTCGCGGTTCTGGGGGGACGGCCCCCGAGGTGGGTGTAGGCCCAGGTCACGTGGAGTTGGGGGCTGCAGTGCCCCCTCCCCTGGGGACCGGAGTTACCTGGCGGGAGGGACCCATGTCTGATGTGGGCAGAGCAAAAACTCAGAAGCATCTTTTGGAACCTGTGTCTTCCCAGAATTCCCCTGTCCCTCTGTCTTCTCAGGGCAGCAGCCCGGGTGCCCTCGGCGTCCAGCGTGGAGCTGGCCTAGGACAGGGTCATCGTGGGCGTGGGGGCGGCAGCGGAGCCCGTCCAGGGCCAGCCGAAGCAGGCGGCAGCTCTGAACCCCACCTGACCCCCTCCACCCAGACCCCCTGCCCCTGGGGGTGATTCAGGCGGGGGTGGGGCGGGCGGTGCGGTGGTTTTGTGATAGATTCAGCACGACGCTCTGGAAGACAAAAAGGAGGCGAGGACGGACTCAGCGAGGAGCGTTAGGCCAATGGACTTCCTGGCTGCCCCATTCAGAGCCCTCCGCAGCCTTTCCCCGCCCGGGGTCCGTCCGGGAGCCCCCAGGCGCAGACAGGGCCCTGAGGGTCCCCGCCCTGGCCTCCCCCGTCTCCTTAGGCCTTTGCAGAGTGAGCACAGACCCCCTCCCTTCCTGCCCAATCCCTGGCACCCACAGGCCTAGGACCCCGCCCTCGCCAACCAGCCCTCGCTCTGGGCCACCATCCTCCCCCTCTCCCTCGCCAGCTGGGCGAGCAGCTGGGCGAGGAGGCCCAGAGCCAGCCTCTCCGTCAGGCCATCCTCTTCCAAACACTGTGGGTGTGCGTGGTGAGTGGGCAGTGGCCGTCGGGCACTGTGTGTTGGTGCGGGTGGTCTGATGGGCGGAGACGGGGCGGGGGCAGGGTGCGGGGGAAAGGCCCCCCTCTCTCTCAGGCCCCGGCTGGCAGAGCTGCGGCTGTGCGGCCAGGCCCTCAGGGCCGGGGAGGGGGGGACGGTGCCGAGGGCTGGCGGCCTCCCACCAGGCCGGCAGGGGGCTCGCGGGCTGGAGGCTCCCTGAGTGTGAGCACGCCGCTCCGCTCCGTCACCTCCCGGGCTCAGGAGAGACTGCCCCCTAAAGATGAGGGTGGAGGCTTAAGCAGCGAGTGGGTCGTTCAGGTTCCCCCGCCCCCACCCGTTTTGGTGAGGAGGGGGCCATGGCCCGGAGAGACCCCGGTGCTGGCCCTGGCGCGGAGCGGACTGACCTGCTGCTGCTGCCGGCGCTGCGGCCCCCACTGCCCCCGCTGCCCCCGCTGCCCCCGCTGCCCCCGCTGGGGCAGGATCGGCACCCGGCTGCCTGTGAGGGGCCCGGCTGTGTGATGTCCGTCAGCAAGGCCACATCCCAACGCCAGGCGGTTCCCAGACCCAAGAGCTTCTTTCTTACGAGACTCTCTCCGTCAGGAGTCAGCAGCGCCCTCGGAGGGGACGCGGGCGGGGACGCGGGTGCTGCCGCCGGGGAGACCAGGAGCGCGGGCCCCCCCTGCCGTCTCCCACAGAGTGGGCGCCCACGGCTCGTCAGCGGCCTCACCAGCTCT